TGCACCCAAACTAGGAATGAAGAAGGATTATAAGAAGGATGATCTCCTAATGTTCTCCTCCAAATGCTAAACTGGCTTAAACCTTGAGCAAAGCAAGTGACTTTTCTTCTGCAACTTACTTCCGTACCACAATGTGTTAACCCTCTCCCTTCTGCACACGTTATTTCAGTGATCTGTGTTAAACCTCTGAAACCAGCTGCATTTCTGGAATTTATGATATCTCCATACCTAGGATTCAGAGGGGATTCTGAAGACAATCTTAATTTTAAAACAGACCTTTCTCCCTCCAAACACATAAATCCCCTGTGCATGCAGGTCTGCACATCAATCCTAAAGTGATATGTAAAATGAAAACATTAAATGTCAACTTACATTTTCCCCCACTTCCTGGTATTCAATACACACTGGTGACATAGCCAGTGCTTCACAACTACCCCCTAGGGAGTCTATGTCACCAATGCCTTCCAGGGAACTTTCATAGGTAAACTGTAAGACCTGTGTTGAAGAAGAAAAAAGAACAAATGGATATTTTTTCCCATTTAAAAAGCCCATGTATTCTTTTGTTTCTACATAGATCTGGCACTGATGTCATTAGTGGGCTGACAGATACAAGGAAGAAGCAGGCCTCCAACAAAGTTTTTTTCTTCTTAACCACTTGCCCTCCAGAAGATTTACCCCCCTTCCTGACCGGGCCTTTTTTTTGCTATTTGGTGCTGCACTATTTCAACTGGTAATTGCGGTCCTGCAATGCTGTACCAAATGAAATGTCCTTTTTTCACACAAATAGAGTTTTCTTTCGGTGGTATTTGATCACCTGTGCACTTTTTATTTTTTGTGCTGTAAACAAAGAAGACTGAAAATTTAGAAAAAAAAACATTTTTTACTTTCGGCTACAAAAATATATAGTAAACTCAAAGTTAGTCATAAATTTAGGCCACAATGTACTCTGCTGCATGTTTTTGGTAAAAAAAAAATCCCAATAAGTGTATATTGATTGCTTTGTATGAAAGTTATAGCGTCTACAAACTATGGTATAGATACTGTAAGTTATGCCATTTTTTGCTATACAGCGCTGTACTAGTTTAATTGACAATTGCGCAGTCATGCAATACTGTAACCAAATGAAATTTATGTCCTTTCTTTCACATAAATAGAGCTTTCTTTTACTGGTATTTGATCACCTGTGTGGTTTTTTATTTTTTGTGTTATAAACACAAAAAGACAGAAAATGTAAAAAAAAATGATATTTTTTACTTACAGCTATAAAAAATATATAGTAAACTCAAAGTTAGTTATAAATTTAGGCCAAAATGTATTCTGCTACATGTCTTTGTTTTAAAAAAAATCCGAATAAGTGTATATTGATTGCTTTGTGTGAAAGTTATAGCGTCTACAAACTATGGTATATATACTGCAATTTAAACCATCTTTTGCTGTATAGTGCTGCGCTAGTTTAACTTACAATTGTGCGGTCATGCAATGCTGCACACAAATTCAATTTTTGTCCTTATTTTTCACACAAATAGAGTTTTTTTTTTGTGTTATAAACAAAAAATGCGAAACATTTTGAAAAAAAATATTTTTTCTCATTTCTGTCATAAAAAAAAATATCCAAAACTTAAATTTTGTCATAAATTTAGGCCAAAATGTATTTTGCTATATGTCTTTGGTAAAAAAAAATTCCAATAACTGCATATTAATTGGTTTGTGTGAAAGCTATAGCATCTACAAACTATGGTATAGATAATGGAATTTACACAACTTTTACTTTCTGACTGCCTATCACATTTGATGCTAAAATACCAGGACAGTACAAACACCCCCAAATGACCCTTTTCGGAAAATAGACACCCTATGCTATCTGCTGAGAGGCATGTTAAGTCCATGGAAGATTAATTTTTTTCCACAAGGTTTTGGAAAATGACAAAAACATTTTTTTTGTACACAAAGTTGTCACTTAAATGCTATGTTGCTCACACAAGCCATGGGTATATGTGGAATTACACCCCAAAATACATTCTGCTACTTCTACTGAGTATGGATATACCACATGTGTGAGACTTGTTGGGAGCCTAACCACATACAGGAGCCTGAAATCCAATGACCACTTTGAATGCCTGGAGATGCGTAAGTTCCTCATTTCACTTCCTCACTACCTTTCACAGTTTTGGAGGCCCTGAAATGCCAGGATAGCACCAACCCCCCCCCCCCCCCCCCTCCCAAATGACTCCTTTTTGGAAAGTAGACACCCAAAGGAATTTACAAAGAGGCATGGTGAGTATTTTGCAGTGATACCAGGTTGATGCCTTCAGATGCAGGTATCATACTGGTATAACCACTCAAAGTACAGTGATGTACCAGTACGTTGATGGTTATGTTGGGTATATATGCTATGTTCTTTTTTTATGCAGCCTGTGAGCTGAATGAAAAAAAATAGAAAAAATCTCTGCCAGAATAAGTGTGTGGTATGCCCACCATTAGAATATACCACCCTGCATCCACCCACTTCTAATGGTGGGCACACATGAAATGTTTTTTTTTTGTCATTCAGCCCGTGGGCTGAAAAAAAAAAGAACCTAACAGATTCCTCTATTCACATTGGAAGATTTGGATGAAGAAATCTTCATGTCGATGAAGAAATCTCTGCCAAATTTTTTAAAAAAAATATATACAGAAGTATAGGGGCCATCCACTCACTGGCCACCCCAGATCCCCATGCTTCGGCATATATGCTCTTTTTTTAACTGCGAATGAAAAATCTCATCCAACAGCTCTGCACACATATACTTATTTATATTCTGAGAGCAATACCCTGTTACTATCAGAATAAACAAGTTGGTGCTTCAGCTGAATGGCATTCCTGCAAAGAAAACAGCAATGGTCAACAATAAAACAGTAACTCAATAAAACAACTTTTTAATTGAAATATTTGCCAAAAAATATTATAAAATATATATGCCGAAGCATAGGGGCCATCCACCCACTGACAGCCCCAGGCTCCCATGCTTCGGCATATATACTCTTTTTTAACTGCGGATGAAAAATCTCATCCAACAGCGCTGCAAACGCTGACTTATGTATATTCTGAGAGCAAGCTTCTGTTGCTGTCAGAATAAACAGGTCAGGGCTGCAGCTGAATGGCATTCCTGCAAAGAAAACAGCTATGGTTAACAATAAAACAGTAACAATAAAACAGTAAAATCAAAACAGTAGAACAGTAACTCGACAACCACAAACATACTGCAACTATTTTTGGTTTTTACACTTTTCAATTTTTTTGTACTTGTACTTTTTATTTTTTATATTTTTTTTTTAACTTGAACTTAACCAGACAGTAGGGTCTCTCAAAATGTGATAGCCAGTTTCCTGACTACCTAACATTTTTCAAGATCCCGTGCAAATATGTGCCCTGAACCGTGCCATGCTGTACCTTATACTAATACTCAACTAGTGTGTGGTAGCCACGGAAGCAGTCCTTGAAGCAAAGACCAGGTTGGCCAGGACAGGAGGGACAAAAAAATCAGGTGTCCACGCCTAACTCCATGTCTGCTACAAGCACAACATTTTTTTTGGGGTGTCCTTTGGGTTGGGGTATCAGGAATGGCATTGGGAAAATGCCTCTCATGCAGCCGGCTAACTGCAATTGGGTTGGGGGTTTGGGCCATAGCACCTTCTGAATACAAAAGGGCCGTGATCATCTCTTCATGGAATTCTAGAAAGGATCCACTTCATCCAGTTGCTTTGTAAAGTACAAAAGCATTATACATAGCCAATTAAAATTAACAAAAATAAACAGACACTTTTTTGTACCAGCCTCTGGCCTTTTGGGAAACTAAGTACAGCTTGGTCGTTGAAGTCCACCCCCCCATGTTAAGGTTATATTCATGGACACAGAGGAGCTTCTCAACAACACCAGCTGCCGTGGCAATTTGGATGGTGTGTGTGCATGAATGGAAGACAGGACAAAAACATCCCATTTGTTCTTCCACTTTACTGCAAGCAATTCCTCATTTCGCAAGCAGGCTTTTTCTCCCTTTCTAAGATGGGTATTTACAAGCCGTTGAGGGAAGCCCCAGCTATTAGGTTGCATGGTGCCACATTCCAATTCCAAGATTGTACAAATGTCTAAATGGTGGCATGCTTGAATAAAAATTGTCTACGTATCAGTGGTACCCCATATGGAAAATGGATGGCACCAAGTCCCAAACTATCTTGCCTCTGCTCCTCATGTAGTCTGGGCATCAGGGGGGCTCCACGTTTCTCTTGTAAATCCGAAACTTATATGTATAGCCTGTTGTCTTCTCACAGATCTTATAAATCTTGACCCCATATCTGGCATGGGGAGAAATTGTTTGAATGCAAGGCAGCCAGAAAAATTAATGAGAGACTCATCAATGCAGATATTTTGGTGGGGAGTATAGACATCTACAAATTTTTGGGTAAGGTGTTTGACGAGGGGCTGAATTTTGTGGAGCCAGTCAAATTCAGGGTCACCCCTGAGGACGACAGAGTGTATAAATGCATAAAACGTATTATACTCTCATATCTATGCCTGGCCTTGGCAGCAGAGAACATGGGCATATGATGAATCGAGTCTGTGGACCAATACAACAACAATTTATTTTTTTTTAGTAATGCCCATTTTGAGGGTTAGGCCCAAAAAAATTTGAAACCGTAATGGGTTTCCATGCAAATGGTCTGGCAAGGTTTGAACTTGGGTTGACGGCTATAAACTGTTGTGCATATAAACTGCTTTGATCCACAATCAATGCATACATATCTTCCATGAAAAACAGCTCCAAAAAATCAAGAGGAGTTGTCAGGGCTCCCGGGTATGACCAGAGGTGTGTGACTGACGCAGGGAAACGCAGGCTTCAGATATGTTATAAACAATGTAATTTAGTAACACTAACAATACAAACATAAACGCAGTGCAATACTAAAACATAACACAGTGCAAACAAACCAAACCAACCACCCACAGATAACAGTACATACAATGCAAGCGTCGTTAGGCAGGCCGGGTCAATATCAATCGGGCAGGTAGGTACAGGGGGAGCAAGCGGAGAATGGTCGGAGTCACAAGCCAGGTTCAGCAGGTAGTGGGCAGCGTGGTACAGAGGGTCAGGCAGAGGAGAATGGTCAGACAAGCCAGGGATCAGGAGCAGGAGAATGGTCAGACAAGCCAGGGATCAGAGCAGGGTCAGCAGAGAATCAGACAGGAACAGGGGAGCAGGAACAGGATACAGGGCCCAGGAGAAACACAACACCAAGGCAGAGTCTGCAGGTCTGAATGTCCCTTAAATACACCAGTATAATTAGTTCCAGGTGTTTGACTGGCTGCAAGGTTGAGTCTCTGATTGCTGGGAGCACCCGCTGGCCAGCCCTGGTGCTGCAGCTCATAAGGCAGCTGAGTCCCACTATTGCTGGCCAGTTCATTCCTGACAGGAGTAGTTAAATTTGCTGTTTCCACCTGAATTCCAGGTTGGGCAGTGAATGGGGGAAGTACGGGGGTGGCAGAATTTGTGGGCTGCCAATCGGGATTTGCAAGCTCATACTAAAGGCTTTATGGACCTGTTAGCGAATTCTTGATGGCTGTGGGACACTACTTGTGGTCGCCACCGCACCAGCTTGTGCTGCACTTATGGGACTCGCCACGTCACAAAGTGATACTGCAGTGCTGGTATGTATAAGACCAGGTTGTACTAGGCCGCAGGTGCTCACCAGTTCACCAACAGGTAGAGCGACACTAGTACTGGCACTCTGCTGCATATGAGAATCATCATGCAATTGTAACATCTCAGCAACCTGGGAATGGGGTCGGTCGGTTATGCTTGACCTTAGCAGGGACCTCTTCTCCATCGTCTGAGCTATCTGTTAGGGTGCTGTTGCTATCTACAGGTTTGTATTCTGAGGCTGATTGTGTCAGTGAGTCTTCCTCTTTGCTCTCAACTGACATGCTCAGAATCCTGTAGGCCTCTTCACTAGAGTACTTTTCGATTAACATTTTGGCCACTAAATTTATAAGTACCTAGTGCAAATCACTGGAAAAAGAGCAAATGGCTGTCAGGGATTGCTTGAACCGCTACAAAAAAACTTACTGGCAAGTGTTAACAGAGATCAGGTCTGATTCCGTGAACACTGCAGTTTTTTTACAATGTATCAAGTGACAGTGATCTACTGACACTGCACTTGCTGGGGGGGGGGGGGGGGGGGGTAAGCATAGGGCTAAATGCAGGTGCTGAGACTGATCCCGCTAATGCTGAGTTTTTTGGGACACTATACTAATGTGGACACTGGTATAGTTCTGATCTGATCAAAGATAATGATCCGTTCAGACACTATACTAGCAACGGAGGTTTATTGTGTATGTGAACTTGTTCCTGGCAATCAAGGGGTTAATTGTGATGACTGGTGTAATGACGGGCAATCTGACATTATCTGGGAGGGATGCTAACTGACACTAATGCTATCTAAAGACGCCGGCGACACTAATACAGTGATCAGCAAAAAATCTGTACACTGTACTAATGACACTGGTGACGGGAAAGTGAAGGGGTTAACTGGGGGGGGGCAATCAAGGGGTTAAATGTGACCTAAAATGTATTCTAACTGTAAAAGTGTAGTGCTTCTACTCAATGTGTCTTCTCTCTCTGGGACGGAATTTGCCCAGAGAGAGAATATATCATCATTTTCTGTACCTGTGTAAGTGTAAACACAGGTTAATGATGATGTCTGATAGGGCAGGGAACATCACTGCCTAAATCAGATCGGCTTGGTGGATTGCGCAATTGCCCCCTCCCCCCATGATCACTGTGGGAGCTGGAATCACGTATATACGTGTATTTGTGCACCCGTGCCACCTTGTAGCAGTATTTCTGCTATAGGTCGGCCGGGAAGTGGTTAAATGTCAGCTTGGGTTTGCAACCTGCAGAGGGTTGATGCAGATACAGAGCAGTGATGATGGCGTGTAACAGAAAACAAATGAAAATAACTAAAAACAACCTATTTTATTTATCTACAAATCTTTCTTTAGTGTGGTCATTTCAATTAAGGAGGAACAAAGTCTGCTTTAAATTTACCCTTTTGCTATACTTATCTTCCCCAGGAAAGTAAATATAACATGTTGCAGCAAAGAGAAAGGTTAGCATAATTATTCATACTTTTCTTTCACCTTTGATCCTTGATCAATTGCTAATTTTTCTGCATTGTATTACATTATTGTGCTGCTTGTTATAACTATATATATTATTTAAAAACAAACATTTTTTAATGCATAAAGTGTATTTACTTGAATTTAACTTGACACTAATCTCCCTGTGAAGTAAAGCTAAGGCTGGGGGGTAGGGCGACACTAGCGGGCAATCAGTTATGCTGTGTGCATATGCTCTTAAAAAAAACACAGAGAAAATAGGCCCGGGGTAGGCAACTTTAGCTGTTGTGAGCTACAATTCCTATCATGCCTCAGAAAGTTATATGTATAACTGTCAGTGTCCTGCAATGCCTCATTGACTTTTAATTCCACAACAACTGGAGTTTTGAGTTAGCCTACCCTGACTACTGATCATCCATAGATGATAAGTCTGCTTATGTTCCTTTAAAATAACAGGCTTGGGGCAGCAAAACAAAAACTGCAAAGTATATATATATATCTTGCAAAATGAACAGCCCTACAGTATTTGTCTTAAGTATATTAACTCCATTTTCTGGCTACTGGTGGCAGTCTTCAGCTATACTGAATAAGCACTATGTATTCTGCCATCTGCACATTGTAACTGATATATGCCCCAGATGTTGCTATAAAGGATAGCATTGGTGCTTGGTGCATGCACCAGGGATTGCCTATAACCTTTGGAAACACTATGTAAGGATCTAATGCATGTACAATTATCAGTGTGTGGGATATAGGATATGTTCTATAGAGCACAATGTAGATTAAGCTGACTGTCCGGTTGAAGACAAGCCAGGCAGTGTGTGAAGTAAAGGTATATTTTTATGTGTGTGATGGGAGGGGTATAATAGTAATAAAGTGCATATGTATTTTAATATAGGGAGCTTTTGCAAAAGTTTGCTTGCAGAACATTCTGGATTTGCTTGTAAAAAAGTCCAGTTATTCCATTTTTTTTGTGGACTATTTCTTGTCTAAATAGACAGACTGGAATGGATTTGTGTCCCTCCTCCAAATAATTCTGCTGTATTTGTGCTATAAATAGATGCAAATATCAGAGTTTAACATTATATTGGTTATTCAAGCTGCTGACTAGCAAGTCACTAGCAAGTCAATTTGGTAAATAAAATGGGGGTAGCTTTGTGCATGCCATTTGTTGGCTGAAACTGGCAAACATTTCAATCCTGAACATAATTGATAAAAATAAATCATATAATACAACCTACCTAATCATTTTAAGTGTCCCTTTTAGAGTACTCAGAGAATATGGATCCAATAATTTTGTTTATCCTAATTTAATATTTAGCAAAAACCTGCCTTCCAACCTGTGGTTTGTATTACAACCAACATATATTAATCAGCACATTTAAAAATTGTATACTCAAAATAGAATAATCACCCTTATAATGCACTCCCACATGAAAGGCTAATAAATCTATAACACCTAAGAATACATGAAATCCCCCCCATCACACACATACATTTCCTTCTCTATTGTTATCTTTTACTCTATTCATGCTTTTCTACACATTTGTCTTATCATCTCTAGTTTCAAACTATTGGTCAATACCTGACCTCTAACCTATGGGCCACATACACTTGCGCATTTTATATACTTATGATTCAAAATATCTGTTAGACTGTCACTCTAATCAGGAGTTTAGCTTCAACATATGTGTGTTTTCACCTTAGAGGCGATACAGCTTTAGTAAGCTCAGACTTTGTGAAACAATCAATAAGATTTCAATCTGAAACTTTCCTATTGTTTACAACTAGAGATGAGCGAATTAGCCTTTATATTAGTGCAGAACACTGTACCTTTAATTTAAATGCCCTTGGAGTCTGCTGGGGAAGAGAAATAATACTGACAGTCAGTATGACATGCAGATGAGTGCCGTCGATCTTAGAATCACCGCACACTTCACTCATTTGGGCAGTCACGGGGCACGACGAAGAAGAAGAAGAAGAAGAAGAAGAAGAATGAAAAGAAGAATGAAAAGAAGAAGAAGAATGAAAAGAAGAATGAAAAGAAGAAGAAGAAGAATAAAAAAGAAGAAGAAGAAGAATGAAAAGAAGAAGAATGAAAAGAAGAAGAAGAAGAATGAAAAGAAGAATGAAAAGAAGAAGAAGAATGAAAAGAAGAAGAATGAAAAGAAGAAGAATGAAAAGAAGAAGAAGAAGAATGAAAAGAAGAAGAATGAAAAGAAAAATGAAAAGAAGAAGAAGAAGAATGAAAAGGAGAAGAAGAAGAATGAAAAGAAGAAGAATGAAAAGAAGAATGAGAAGAAGAATGAAAAGAATAAGAAGAAGAATGAAAAGAAGAATGAAAAGAAGAATGAGAAGAATGAAAAGAAGAATGAAAAGAAGAAGAAGAAGAATGAAAAGAAGAATGAAAAGAAGAAGAAGAAGAATGAAAAGAAGAATGAAAAGAAGAAGAAGAATGAAAAGAAGAAGAAGAAGAAGAATGAAAAGAAGAATGAGAAGAATGAAAAGAAGAATGAAAAGAAGAAGAATGAAAAGAAGAAGAAGAAGAATGAAAAGAAGAATGAAAAGAAGAAGAAGAAGAATGAAAAAGAAGAATGAGAAGAAGAATGAAAAGAAGAAGAATGAAAAGAAGAATGAAAAGAAGAAGAAAGAATGAGAAGAAGAAGAAGAATGAAAGAAGAATGAAAAGAGGAAGAAGAAGAATGAAAAGAAGAAAGAAGAAGAATGAAAAGAAGAATGAAAAGAAAAGAAGAATAAGAATGAAAAGAATGAGAAGAAGAATGAAAAGAAGTGAAGAAGAAGAATGAAAAGAAGTAAAAGAAGAAGAAGAATGAAAAGAATGAAAGAAAAGAAGAAGAATGAAAAAAGAAGAAGAAGAAGAATGAAAAGAAGAAGAAGAAGAAGAAGAATGAAAAGAAGAAGAAGAAGAATGAAAAGAAGAATGAAAAGAAGAATGAAAAGAAGAAGAAGAAGAATGAAAAGAAGAAGAAGAAGAAGAAGAATGAAAAGAAGAAGAAGAATGAAAAAAGAAGAAGAAGAATGAAAAGAAGAAGAATTCCAGTACAGCAAAAAGTGTATCTGCAGAGAGCTCCGCTATTTCTGACAGTTCTCTGACAGTTCCTTCACATGTACAG